AAAACGCAATAAAAGATGGCAGACGTGTTTTTATAATAATAATAAAAAACAAAAAACTTTTTAAACTTAATATATTGATATTTACTTTATAAACTTAATATATTGATATGGCACCAAAAGTTGATTATGTTTCTAGAAAACGGCTTGAAGACTTAATTACCAGAGTGTCAGAATTAGAGCGTAAAGACATTGAAAACTTGTCGAAAATTGATAAACTGATGAGTGAAAATGTTTTATTAATAGCACAAGTTAAAATATTAGAAGAAAAACAAACAAATAGCATTTTAGATTGGAGTAAACTATTTGATAATAAGAAGTGCGATAGATCTACAGAAGAAATAAAAGTAACACAAGGTATTATAGATTTAAGTAAAAACGTAAGTAAAAGAGATAAAAAATATCATTGTTTTTGGAATACCAAATTAAACCGATTCGGATGCTGGAAATAGGAAAACATTTGATGAAAATATTCTTAAAAATCTTTTTTCTAAAATAAAAATTAACCCTGACAAAATAAGAATTGCTTCAAAAATTGCTTAAAAAACACGAATGAAAATAACACAAAAATGGAAGCAAGTACACCTTTGATGGTCGAATTACCTGATAGTTCAGATAAATTTACAATATTAAAAGCTGCCAAGCAACTAAAAGATTCTGAAAGTTTTAAAAAAGTATCTATTCAGCCAGATCAAAGTAAATTAGAGAAAAATTTACAAAGAGCTTGATCTTAAAAAGAAATAAACTAAATGAAGAGCTAAATTTGAAAGGCCAGTTAAATAATACATTTCGATTCAAAATCAGGAATAATGAAGTCAAAAAAATCAGAACAAATTAGCCAAAAAATAAACCAAAAGGATAAGAATAATTTAAATCAACATATGAACTCCAATGATAATATTTCTGTTTGCCAACCATATGATTCTTTGAACATTAAAACAATGCTTGCTGATTCAAATATTAATATTAAAGAAGTTCATTAGAGTAGAAATTTTTTACCAAACAATGACTTAACTCAAGTAAATTCAGTTTTTAATAAAAACAGTAAAAAAAAGCTAAATATCAATCCAAAAAAACCAAGAACTAGTATAAAATGTTGGTACACAAATGCAACTTCTTTAAACAATAAATACAACGAACTAATAGCCGAAGTAGAAATAAATAATCTAGATGTTATGTTTATTTGTGAAAAATGGTGAAATGATTGTTCTCCCAAAAGTATTCAAGGATATTCACTGTTTGAACGAGAAAGAACTTATGACAAAGGTGGTGGTGTTTGCATATATGTCAAAGACTCAATAAAATCTTTTGAAGTTTCAAATAGTGTGCTACAAAGCCAACAAATAGAACAAATATGGTGAACATAGAAGTTGAAAACGAATCAATACTATGTGGCTGCATTTATCGTTCCGGAATAAGTGACATTCAAAGTTGTATAAAAATTACAGCATCAATCAAAGTAGCATATGAAATGATATCCAATAAAACATATAGTGGCATTCTTTTAAATGGGGATTTTAACTTAGCAAAAATAGATTAGAGTGACGAGTTTTATTGCCCATCTGCAAGAACCAAATGAAATTGCTAGTATGTTTATAGACTGCTTAGACAATTGTTGTTTGTTTCAAAATATAAACAAGCAAACGTTTCAAGTGGATAATATAACTGAAACTAATGTCTTAGATTTAGTAATAACCGAAAATAATTTGCGAATATATAGGCTAGAACATCATCCACCGTTAGGATCGATTAAACATGGTCATCACGTATTAACATATAATTACAACTACAGTTCATCTGAAGAAATATTAGCAGAGTTTAACAAAAAAAAAATACATCTATAATAAAGGAAACTATGATGAAACTAATAAATACTTTGATAGTACTGACTGGTCAAGAATATTCGAAAACTTGAACGCTAATGAGTGTTACGAAAAGTGGTTTGAACATTATAAAATCATTTGTAATGTAAATATACCGTTAACAAAATCAAATAAAAAGAAAAGAGCACCTTGGTTTAATAAAAGTCTATCGGAAATGATTAAGGCAAAAATTTTAATGGATAAAATGTAGAAATGCAAAATTTAGAGATCAATAACTTGAGACGAAATATAAAAGTATAAAAAATACAACGAAAAAGGCTACTAAAAATGAAATTGTTAAATATGAGCACACAATAGCGAAAAATGCTAAGAAAAATCCCAAAATAGTTTAAAAATATATGAATAATAAAACTCAAACTAAAGATTATATTCAAACTATTGAGAATAACAATGGAATAGTTACGACCAACATTTCTGAGATTGCTAACGAACTAAACAATTTTTTCAGCTCAGTTTTTACTATTGAAGATAAAAACCTCCCAGAGCTTCAAAAACAGTGCGATGTTTTATGCCCAAGTCCTACATTGGATATTGAAACAGTTAGTAAGAAGTTTGCAACTCTGAATGTTTATAAATCAACTGGAGTAGACACAATACACCCTAGAGTTTTAAAAGAATGTTGCAAAAGTATTTCAAACCACTATCAATTATTTTTGATTGCTCATTTTCGAGTGGCATTGTTCCATGTTTATGGTTATTTGCAAATATTACTCCTCTGATTAAAAAAAGAAATAAATTAAAAGTAAAAAATTATAGACCGGAATCACTCACATCAATAGTGTGCAAAATGATGGAAAGCATAATAAGAGACGCACTAATAAATCATCTGACTAAAAATAGTATACTCTCTTACTCTCAACATGGTTTTGTATCATCCAAAACTTGTTGCACAAATTTACTTGAAACATTTGACATAATAACTCAGGCACTTGAGGAAAATTTATCAGTAGATATAGCTTTTTTAGACTTTGCCAAAGCCTTTGACTCAGTTGCACATAAGAGACAATTATTAAAACTACAATCCTATGGGATCCAAGAACAATTATTATGTTGGTTTATAAGTTTTCTAAGCAGACAAACACAAAAGTGGTTCTCGGTGAGATAACCTCTGAGTGGAAAAAAGTAATAAGTGAAGTACCACAAGGATCAGTTATTGGACCCCTTTTATTTGTCATATATATAAATGATTTAACAAGTGAGATAACTAATCATTGCAAATTTTATGCAGATAACACAAGAATTATTTCAGTTATTAATACAGTCGAAGACAGTCGAACGTTACAGCAAGACTTATGTAAGCTGGTTGAATGGAGTGAAAAATGGCAAATCAACTTCAATAAAGAAAAATGCAAAATTATGCATATCGGCAAAAGAAATTTAAAATATAATTAATTAATGTGTAGCACATTCGATATAACTCAGCGAAATGCTTTAGTTATGGAAAAAAACACGTTAGAGAGCGATCTTGGTGTTATAACGACGTCAAATGGGAAAAGCATATTAACAAAATTGCGGCAAGGGCTAATAGAAAGCTCGATCAGATAAAGAAATCATTTTGTCGATTAGATGAAATTTCAATGAAACATTTATGCACGTCATTATTTCTTCCACACCTGAAGTTCCATAAGGGCTCCATACCTGCGGTGCCGGTATGGAACCCTTACTACCAAAAGATATTGATAAAACTGAAAAAATACAACGTAGGGGTACACGAATAAATAGTTTAAGAAACTTTTGCTATGAAGATAGACTGAAAAAATTTAACTTGACTACTTTAAAAACAAGAAGAGAAAGAAGCAATTTGATTTAATTTTATCAAATAAGTAAAAATATGGATAAAGTTAAATGGAATCATCCTTCTAAAATAATTAAATATGCAATAACAAGAGGTCATACTCAATACAAAAAAATACAAAAACAATTCACACATTCTACCACAAGATTTAACTTCCTTACAAAGAGAGTAGTTAACAATTGGAATAATTTAACAGAGGAGATAATTAATTCTAAAAATGTGGACATCTTCAAAAACAAGTTTGATCGTTTCGAAAAAAACAAAATAAAAGTATAAAACATATAAAACAAAATATATATATATATATATATAACATTTAAAAAAGGAAAAAAAAAAAATTTTGCAACGGCTGTCAAAGTTTTAACATCTACAGATGTTAGACTCACACATTGTATGTGTACAGCAAAAATTTATTATTATTATTATTATAATTTACTTTATCTTAACTATTAATTATGAAATTGTTGGCGACAAGGCGAACGAGATAAAGAATTTGGCCAACATATATATGACGTAGGAAGATTTTTAAATGTTTGAAATAACCAACCTATAAACAACAACATTATTTTTAATTTTTTTACGTTTATATGCATGACGAAAATATTCTTTAAAAAAATTACTCTGAAAGGAGTATGATAGAATGGGGTGGGGGGGGGGGGGAGGAACGATTATAGGGTTTCTTGTTCCCATTCTCCTATCACAGAATTTTTTTTTTTAAAGAATCTTTTCGTCATACATATAAACCTAAATAAATTTGGAATATTCTTGTTGTTTACAAGTTGGTTATTTTAAACACCACTGTATAGCTGTATATAGTTCTTGAAAATATGATTCATCAAATTTCTACAGTAATGGCACGGACCGCATATGATGCACCCCAGAACAAATATAAAGTACTTCAAAAAGTTTGGAGTTTATTTATAAAAACAACAAAATCCGTTAAAATTGTATATTTTAGTTTTAAATTTTATAATTTAAAAAAAAAATAATAATAAAAAGTTATAATTTATTTAAAGAAATCATAGAGATATGTTTGATTTAAACAAAATTTCTATTTGCTTTAACAAAGGCGGCTTTTCGTCATTTAATGATAAACAATGCAGGAAAAAGAATTTGCTTCACATTGCAATTCCCATAACAATAAATTATATGTTAGAAAGGCATTTAAAAACGTGTTTCCATCAAGATTTTTTTAAAAACAGTTAATTAAATATATAAGTTAAGCAGGGCATTGTTTGCAGAACAAAAAACTTTTTCATTTTTCACTTCTTGTGTTTAATTTTAGCCGCATGTAATAAACTAAACTTATTTAGTATTAACTTTAGAAAACACATTTCTTCTAACAAAGAATGACAAAATGGTGAAAGGTGATTTTAACAAAATCGTTGGTGAAGTTCAAAACGACAAAGTTGTCCAAAGAGTTCATAGCCCCAGTTTAAAACAAAAAATATGGGAACACACTGAACTCCTGGAAAGCTCAAACCCAACAACAAAGATTTTACAATACTTCAGCAAGGTGTTTTTTTTTATAACTTGAATTTGATCAAAATCATAATTACGCCAATATATTACCATATTATTCATATATATAATATCCTTTTTTAGTTATTTAGTTTAAATTAAAGATAATATGGTAATGTATTACTTTTATAACTTAATTTGCATCTATTTTCAAAGATAATCCATATTTTAGTTAATTTTGTTTAACAGTTATAATTTTATATATTTAATAATAGTTTAAATAAAGAGTAAGTAAAAACATTTTTTCATTCAAATTGATATTTAGTATTTCAGTTAACTAAATTAATAACCTAATGATTATATTTAGTCTTTTACCATGCATTTAAAGAATCAAACCTTATACACCAAATTTATGAGATAAAATTAATAAAATTTAAAATAACATTATAAAGTTTAAGTTTTCACATTCAATGCGTGACATTGTATCCTTCTTGTATAAGTCTTATTATATATATATATATAAATATATATATATATATATATATATATATATATATATATATATATATATATATATATATATATATATATAAATATATAAATATGAACTTTATTTCCAACTCAAAACGTAGGATCATATGTTGGTGTGATTTGCTTTTTTCCATCTTTTAAAACCCAGAAGTATGGTGAAAATTTTTTTGTTTATTAGTGCGTTTGTGAATGGAACAAGAGCCTTGCATGCATTTTGAATGAGTCCAAAAAAAAATATCCTAAAACATCTTTACTCCATCTTATACAATATCAATTAAAAAAAATTCTAAAAAACCTTTTATTCTAACATTTGGGCATTGTTATCCTTACGATTAAAACATTATTTTAATTTTCTTTTCGTAATTATCATAAGTACTTTTTTTTTTATTTTATTATTAAAACCTGCAAATTGATTTCTACATGTTTGTTTTGATGTATATTTTATGTGCTTTGGTTTGTGTGTTTACGGTCTATGTGTTTCAGTGTGTATTTTTGCTTATTATTACTTATATTATATTAAAAATTGATGTCACTTCTTTGATCAGATTTCTGTATGAGTGATACCATCCTAACAAATCATTAACTTAATATTATAAATAGTTTTATGCTTGTAACTACCACTATATTATTAGTTATTTTTTCATTGTAATTATTGTAAACATACTTATTAAAACTGTTACTATATATTGTATATATTTTTTTTATCCAACATTATTATAACATATAACTATTATTATTACTATTATTATTATTATTATTATTGCTATTATTATTATTATTATTATTATTATTATTGTTATCAAAACTATTGTAAAAATGATTTACGGAAAATAAATAGCTTATTGTTGTTGCTGTTGTTGTTGTTGTTATTTTTGCCTTTTGAAAAATTACAATTTAGGAAAAAACACACCAACAACATGGGAAAGTTTTGAGTGAACATTTTCCCAAGTTCACTCAAAACTTTTTGCACTTCACTAGGTATTTATGTTGTCATGGTTTTTTAGATGTTATACTGCTTTAAAGTTTCATTTGAAGCTTTAATGACGTCATTCAAGATTTTTTCGTAATTACGATGACTTTTCAGTTTCATTTTTTTACTTTAATTTCTCAAACATCTTAGATGCACATAAACACTGATTTTTAGCTCTTTTTAACTTGCAAACTTACTCCAACTGGTTTCCTCATTTGATTTTGTTTTGTGTCAACATGGTTGCCTAGTAAAATATTTTGAACTTGTTTCGAGTGTTTTTTTACATACATTTGGTATGTTTAAGTTGGGCTCACTTATGTTGCTGCTAAATTTTAAAATTTTAAAAAACCGTTGCAGTTTGATGCTGTCTGATGTCAAAAGATGGAGTAGGCTGAATTAAAGATGATAAAATTATTTATTCAAGTTGTTTCTAGTCCTTCCAAACTGACATAGGTGTTGAAAATAATGTGCTTGGTGATCCCCATACAGATAGGTTGTATAAACGTGATAAAAAATTGACGCGACAAATCTAGTGGAACCTTGTAAAGCTAGACTTAATTTATTGAACCTTTGCAGTATCGTGTCCCAAAAAACAATCAAAGTACCAGTATCCAGTATCGAGTTTCACATTTAATTACGTTCATCAGTTACAATCGTATCTAGAGTTGATTAAATAATCTTCCTTCCGCAAAGCATTTATTGCTTCATCATGTGCTTACCAACGTGTGTCTATTTTTTAGGCACTGGTGTCTTTTCTTTGGCTAGCTTTTTTATCAGGATTTTTTATTGATGAATAATCCATAGGCACAAAGAATGTGTAGATCCGTTGCATAATATTAAAAAAATCAACTGCTTTACTACAACAACTAACATTTTTGGCAACCATGGCCTACTTACATACACGGCCGGACTTTTTGCTTACAAGTGCAAAAAAAAGTAGGCCAGTTTTACGATTTATTAAACTTATAATTTATTATTTATTAAACTAATATTATCTAAAAATATATTACAAATATCACATATATTTCAACAAAATATACAACTTGAGAAAAAAATATAAGCCAAATAAATACAGCTATAGAAAATATAACTTATCAAATACAAAAAAGTTTTAACAAAAACATACAAAAGCCAAACTTAGCCACCATAAATTAACTTTAGAAAAAGATGACGATGAAGCTATAGATAAGCAAATCAAAACAAAAATTAAATATACAGTCCATCTATACCATATCTATAGTATATCTATAGCAAAATTAAGGATAATAAATTAAGTTTGTTTTTTGTTGTGTTGATTTTTAAAGGCTACTACTTCATCTTTTTGAATCTTTCCATTTTGAATTGATTGTTCATTATTATAAAAATATTAATAACAGTTGTGTGAATATACTATCTTCCTGTTTCTAAATGGTCAGAGCACATAAAACAAATGCTATTTTGGAACAATTTAAGTTCTGCTAGAGCTGAATTTTTCAATTTGTTGAAATATTTAGTTAATAACAATTCTTTAGTAATCTCTAATATGCAAAATAAGGAGCAAACATATTCTACTATATTTTCTCCAGGTTCAATTAACCCTCCCTTTGATAGAATTTCCATATAAAGTGAAGATATTTTGTTAGTTTGAAGAAGATCTTGACACAAAGAACATTTAAGTTTGGATTTAATTTTTTTTTATATACCCAGCAACATGAATAACAACTTCCATTAAACTTTCACATTAATCATATTCATCTATTTTAATTTGTAATAAAAGTAAAGCTGTTTCAAGTTCTTTTGCATCATTATTTACTGGTACTTCATTATTAAACCATGTATTCAATGCCAGAGTTTCTTTAATTAGAGATTTTATGCTGATTATTTTTTCAGAACTTTCAACTTCAAGCAAACTAACCAGATAACTTCCACCACTCATCTGCCTAAGTTTCCAAAAATGTTTTTCAAGAGGATCAATTTGAAATCTACTGGTTAAAATGTAATCATATCCTTCTAAAAGTAAATCTTTGATTAAAGATGCAGTTTCTTTTAATGTAAGAATAAGTGCATTTGATGTCTGAGCTGAAAGTGACAATTTGTGACACCCCTGTAAATTTGTATTATACATATTGAGCAAAAGGATTTAAAAGTTCAAGTTTTTGATCATTTGCAACAACAGCATTTCCTATTTTATTATTAGTATTATACATATTCTTTGAATTTGTATTAGACATATTCTTTGAATTTGAAATTGTCCATCAAGTATTTATCAAATAACGAAATTTAGCAGCACTTTATTCTTTTGGAAAATAACTTTTAATGGCAGAATAGTTTGACTCGTGGAAAATTTGCAAAGCCAGTTTAACACTTTCTTCATTTTTTTCCTGGATGTTAACCAGTTGGAGTAAGTTTGCCAGCTTTTTTTAAATAAGCAGGCACTAGTAGAGTCTTTCTTAAAGTTATAGGTGAAGAGAGTAAAGATAGCTTTAAAAAACAATCTTTGTTTGTATGAATTGTTGGAATAGGATTCTTTGTAAACTCTAGTGTATTTCTTTTGCCTCGTTTAATAAATTTTTCCTTCGAAATGATCAATACATATTCCAGAAAATTTAGATGGTTGCTACTTAATTCTTTTTATAAACTTAATCCACCGGAAGCATAAATCTATGTCTAAGCGAAAATTAAATACTGTTTTAGTTATAAAACCCTCCACAGTATTGTCATTTTTTTTCTTTTTATAACCGCTTCTGCAAGCAACTACACAGCACTTTTTAGACATTTTATAAGACAAATAATGTAAGAAGATAAAATGAAAGTTTGCTTTTATTCTAATAACAATAACACTTATGAGAACCACTTTAAGTAAATAAAGAACTTGAATAAAAACTGTCCTACTAATTATTGGACTTGTAAGCAACAAGTCCGGCCGTGTATTTAAGTAGGCAATGTGCCTACTAAATTTAATAAATGAGCAAAGTAAAGTGTGTAAATAATATACCCACAAACAGATAAATTATGAGCCTTAACACCATTGCAACAGCCAAACATGTTCGATGACGTCTGACTATGACAGTTTGACTATGACAGTTAACAATATTATTTTTATCTAAGAAGTCTAGCAATGCATTTTATTATCCACTTCCAGTGTGACTTTCAAACTTAACAAATGTCAAAAAAAGCTCAATTGGTTCACCTTTGTTTACATAAAGAACTGACTTAGGCAACTGAGCGACGTGCGATAAGTCAGGTGTTAAATCAATTGACACATATAGTACTTTGCTTTTGTATTACATCAGTAATAAACAAAAGTACTTTTTGACTCATCAAATTAATGAGTTCATCTCAGACTGTAGTAGATAAGTATGATGTTCGTTATCGATACTTCGTTGCTTCAATTGTAGCCGGTTCAAGATTAACAAGTTCTTGATTTTTATTTTCTCTGATTTCACATTTACCTTGACTTTCTGGTTCTGTACTATTACATTTCTGTCTTAGATTGGCATGCACATCTCTGTTTTCTTTGGCCTCTTTATCCAGGGCTTTTTTGCGTTTTACAGTCTTACTTTTTTACAAATAATAACAACAAGAATAATACATAGTATATTATTCATAATTAAAGACATTCATTTAATAAGAGCAATGTAACACCAAACTAATAATAATTTTAATACATACATATGACAATAAAAAATACAACTCATAAAAAATAGCCATATTAAATAAATAATAGCGAGAATAATAGTAACAACAACAAAAAATAAAATGTAATAATTAAAGTAAATATATACTAATCATAATTATTGTAAATTACAACAACTATGATTATTATATTTACTATTTTTACAATATTTTAACTTTAGGTATATTATATTACAACTTGTAATATAATAACCAAAATAGAATATAAATATAACACAACACATACATAATAGCAATATCAAATAAATAGTTAATAGCGACATGAATTATAATAATTAAAATAAATCAATATTAACTTCCCTACAACAATTGTTTATACATACATACATTTGCAAACAATGATATATTATTAGGGAAGGGTACACAGAACATTTTTTGAATTAGTTCTAATGAACCAGCATTTTCTCAGGCCTAATTCTATGCTAAACACAATTTTACCAAGCCTTTTGCTGTAATACATTGTTTGATGTCAGATTGCAGCAATTTTAAATGGCCGCTATTATGAACATTTTTTCTTAGGCTTCTACATCTTGATTCAGATTAGACTTTGTAATATATCCTTTATAAGATTTTTTGGTTCAAGGAATAACAAATTCAATGTAAAATTGACGTAATAAAAATAGTTTATTTTATATGCAAATAAAATACTACATTTTACAATTCTAATACTTTCCCAAAGTTAAGAGATTGACCTTTAATTCAAGTCGCAGTGATTCAGAGGCAAAATGAATAAGTCACAGTTTGTTTATATATATATATATATATATATATATATATATATATATATATATATATATATATATATATATATATATCACAAACCAAATATTGAATATTTATTCAGCAGTTAAAACACTTTTTAGTAATCAATCAATGTTGTCAACAAGATCATTCAAAGGCTTAGAACCTTTTTTTTTTTTAATTTTAAATTCCTCAAGAGTGAATTTCTGCATTTTGATTTGTCCGTAATCTAATTTTACGCGTCAATGAGATGCAAATAACATATTTCGCTGAGAAGCTGACTTTCAGATAACGAGTCGAGTATTTCAATATCAGAATGTGTCACTGCTTTTTAAAATCTTCCAGTACTTTGAAAGTTTTAAAAGTGTTATGCTTTTTCAATTCTTCCTTTTTCACAATCTGTAGTTTTCGTGCAGTCTGAACGGTTGCTATAAAGTCCATTTCTAGTTTTTTGGTCTGCTTCACCTCATCGGAAGTCCTCACCCATTTGCATTTCTTTCTCTTGTTTCTGGATCCGAGCTCGGTAAAGGAAGAATCTCTGATTATACCATTTGTCATCACTACATTTTTTCTGGATAATGTAGTGACTGTTGTGGAGCCACCACATATTTGAACTCGGTTGTCAAATTTTGCGAATTCTTATTCACACCCTAAGTTGGTGAGAGGTGCCAGTTTCAACTTTTCGCAATTGATTCCAGATTTTTAAAGAAGTCCATTTCAGATAACTGTCTATTAAGCATTTCCAATACTTCTTCCAGAATAACACCAGTAAGAAGTTCTTTACCAGCGGTTGATTGACTGTTTTCGATTTCAAGTTTCTGAGTTCAGAAATTTAGTTTCAATAAATGTTTGCACACCATCCCAAGAGCGTTAATTATTGTGGAGATTTTACGATTATCCACCCACAGAAGATCCATTACTCGAAGGATCAAGTACTCGCCGAGTTCAGCATAGATTTCGGCACAACTGAAACGAATCATTTTGAATGTACGTAGATAGTACCAGCACAAACTTATTAGAATTTATACCAACCACATTGCTAAAAGACTGCATTAACTATTCTCTCTGTTTTATGAACTGTTTGGAAATCTTGGCTATTCTTCCAATTGGTTCGAAATTAATCCACAGAACTCGTTAAGCTCATTCTTAGGATTCAGCCATTGCTTGTACTCCTTGTAGAGAGAAAAAGAACTAGCTACATGGCTTGGCGACAAAAACTTAGAAATAGCAATTAGAACGCCTTTTCACCAACCAAAACATGCAGCAACTTATGAACACAGATTTTTTGTTACCCATTTCTGAATACTTTGTCTACAGCATGATCCGCAACCAAAATCACATGTGCGGAACATTTAATGATTTTCAAACTATTAACATCTTAGGTTGCTAGTAATGTTGCGTTGTCTCCAGCTTGATCGGTCATGAAAAAGTCTTTGGAATTGAGTATATCTTTTAAAGTATTGTCAGCTAGAGACGCTAAGCATTTAAGTCTGAAACGATACGACTCTGCTCCATCTGATCCAGAATGACGTGCATTTTCTGAGTAGCCGATACTGACTGTTTTCATTTGTTTATTTAATTCAATTATAGACATATGATTAGTTTTAATATTGTACACACAACGGCTTTCTGCCTTGGTTGTGCCCTCCAGCCCTTCTGTGATGACTGAATCACCTTTATTGAGTATGAAATCAGCAGCCATACGTTAATTTTTGTAAAGTTTGGTGGTCACCAAGACGTTGTGTTTGGAAAATTTGCATCCTCCACCGATAAAAATTTATTAAATAACTTATTATAGATTACATTTATGTCTTCATTAAAATTTATATGCTTTCAGTTTAACAATGATAATTGATATTTAAACGGTTCTAAATTTTTTTTGTTGAAAAATATGTTTTCTTATAGTCTGACTTTTATTAGTGTTAGGAGGTGAAATTGTGTTAATTGTTGGAAAAATGAGAAAATAGTCTGATATATATGATTTTATAATGCCTTTTTGTATATAATAACCATATTTTTTCGATACTTTCCTTTTTATTTATCTGCTTCACTTTATCTGTATTTTTATGTATCTTTAAATATTTTCTTTTTTCTCACTCTGAAACTTTTATTAATTTTTGTTTATTTTTTCTTTTGCCGTTGTAAAAAGCATCCGCCAACACTAAGTCACTGCAGCGAATTTCAACTCTCAACTGAGTCAACTCATAGGTGTTCCAGAGATTTGTAACTATTGTTGTGTATTAAAAGGAACATATATTGTTACGGAAATTGTTCTTGCTTTCTTTTTCTTTCTATTCAATGCCACATGTTTTTAAATACTTCAAGTTAAAAAAAAACGTGTTTTTTCAAAAAATCTTAAAAAAATTCAGGAGCCAGAGGATTTGGGGGCCAGAGTCACTTGCTTCAATTGCCACAGTTATTATCCGCCATTGTGCAATAGTCATGAACTAAATCTAGCCAAAATAATGCGAAGCAAAAAAAAATTAAAAAAAATCCCAAAATGAATTTTTAACTGCTGGAACTCAAAGAAACAAAGAGCAGTCTTCAAGGTTATTATAGAAAAAACAATTCCAAGATGATAATGTTTATCTTTAATGTTACTTTATTTATCTTACTTATATTATATAGTGGGTTTTTAATGTAACTTTGTTTACCTTACTTGCATTATATAGTGGGTGTTTAACAAATATATTAATATTAGTTAATAATATGAACGTTTAACATTGTTAAAGACTAATTGACCAATTTAATTTAGAAATATGTAGATTAGAAAATCAATTATTTAACTTAAGTACATAACAGAATAAATTGTTTTTAGCAACCAATCTGTGTAGACACGTCAACAACAAACTGCTCGCTAATAGGTGTTGTATCAAAAACCTTGAGTGAAATTGTTGCAAACGGATCCGTAATAACTAATTATCACGACGTAAATTTTATTACAATAATTTTAGAGAATATAGTTAGCGCGTTTCTTAATGCTACAGCAACTGAACAGGTAATTATATGTATTTTAATTAATTTTCTAATAATTTTTTTTAATTTTATTTATTTTTTAGTTTCAATTTTATTTGTTTGACAAAAGATAAAAAGTCTTTCCTCAGAACAATCAAATCAATTCCAGAAAACTGCCATGGAAATATAATACAGAGTATTCATTAACATTTCGATAACCCAAGTTATGGAAACCCTTTCAAGTCAGGATAATGCAAATACTTTTCTGTAGAACACAATAAAAATATTTAAGATAAGTCCAAATAAACTCATTTTGCAAAATAATAATTCGAATGGTTTACCAAGTTAATTAGGTATATGTTGCATATTTTTCTTAGTGGTGAATAAAAATATATTTATGCTATAAATAATAAAACAATCTTAGCTTTGTTATACATTATTCTTACTATTATTAGAAGTTTTTAGTTGTATTTATATCTTACTAGCTGAGATCGGACCCGTAAAAATACGGGTCTTTGTGATTCCAAATTGAACTTTTAATACTTTTTCCTTATATATCCTAGCTTTCCGAATCCGTAAAATGCGGGTCTTAACCGAACCTACTATTTCTATACATACCTATTCCAGACCGAATATTTCTATACCTATTCCTTATTTACTCCGATACTTTTAAGTAAAATAATTTTGTTCTGAAAAACTACTTTGAGAGCAAAAAAGTAGATAAACTATAAAACGTTATGGAAACATGTATATTCCTACCCATCATTCTTATTTTTAATATACGTGAGGAATTCAAAAAACATCGTTATATATATTTATTATGGCACGTTTCGTAAGTTTATTTCCGTTAAGAATTCTTTTGTCTTTTGTGATCCGAAATACTTTCTTTTCGAAAAAAATTTTATTTTTCAATATTTTTAAAAATAAAACCATAAAAATTTAATAAGTTATTATACTAAAAATAAAAATTCATTATAAACATTTTGGGATTTAAAGATGTTAATTTTTACTATTAAAATCAGTCTGGCAAACAAATTTTCTTTATAGACTTCAAAACGTCGTTTGGCGAAAATGTTTGTTTTGCAAGTGCAATTTCCGAAACCGCTACTTTCGGATGTTGCAAAATAGTTTTGTTTAGTATGTCAACTTGCGAAATGCTAAATTTCGGAAGTGGCTTTTGCGAAATGAACACCGGCAATTTTAAATGTTTTGTAACATTCGGTACGAAAAAATGTAATTCCTCGTTCTCAATCTCCTTACGAAAGAATGTTATTTTTCCGGAATTGCACGAAATCCTCCGGTTAACAACTCTTAGGCAAATGCAATTTCGCTTTTATCCAATTTTAAGATTTTTTGTTGAGTTGTTATATGAAAACCCATCTTGCTCCAGTCGCCATGTTGCCTTGCTTTCCCCTAATCATGTTTTGAGAAATTTTAAAAAAGCTTTGTAAAAAACTCTCTCCCTTTCGTTTATTATAGTATATATTATCTTGATGTATGTTATGCATATATCTTTAGGCCTTTAAAAATGTTTTATTTTGTATTCTACAAAATTAGAAAAAATTAAGTGTAAACAAAAGGATTAGAACCCATGCGAAGCACTTTAACCACTTTGACATGTTTTAAAGGAAGAAAAAATAATCTGTATTGTATTAATGTATTAAATGAAAATCAATTTATTTGTACATAATAACAAAACAAAATATATAAAGAAATGTATGTTTACAAAAAAAATTCAGCTAAATTTGCATTATCAAAAAAGGATTTTGGTAGATTAACCAATATTTGGTTTAGTTGGTAGAATAACCAACTACATAAAAACTATTTATAGACGCATTGTTTTTTGTATCTACTACTCACTCACCTTCTTAACCTATGTATATATATATAAAAAGGTGGGGGATGCTTTTGCCCTAAACTTAAATGCTAAAAAAAAGCATTGTAAGATGTCTAAAATAAAACAAAATTAAATTAAATAATGACATGAAAAAAGCTGAGATCGGCCGCGTAAAAATAAGGGTCTTTGTATATCTATTCCTAACTGAACTTTTCTATACTTTTTCCTTATATATTCCAGATCTGTAAAATACAGGTCTTTACCAATTTACATATCTATTTCTAGACAAAAATTTCTATACCTATTCCTTATTTACTTCAATATTTTTTAGTAAAATAATTTATTCTGAAAAAAAATTTAAAAGCAAAAAACTAAACATGCGCGCATACGTAGAGCTTATTATATATACTAGCAGTAAGCAACCCGTAATACGGGTTGTTATTAAAAAAAACAACCGCGTAAAAAAAAGTCTAAAAACGACTTTAAAATAGAAAAGCCTAGAAAATTACGTAAGTCGACTATTAACTATTAGCGTTTTAGTATTATCAGATTACAAGGGATTGTCCATAAATTACGTAACGCAAAATTTCACAATAAACAAAACAAAAAAAGATTAAAAGTTTTCCCTCGCAGAGTCTTAATTTAAATAAATAATCAAAATAGGAAATTAAGTTCAACGAAAATCGCCGTGTAAAAGAGCTTAATATCTCCTTTTTGGGATCGTAAATTAAACGCAAACTTTTACAATTAACATAACAAAAAAAGATCGAAAGTTTTCCATCGCTGAGTCCTAATTTAAGAAAAGAAATCAAAATAGTCTATTAAGTTTAATGAAAATCGCCGCGTAAAAGAGCTTATTATCTCCTACTTCTGTTTTTTAAAAATATTTTGCGTTGCGTAATTTATGGACGATCCCAAAGATACTTATATTTAGCTTTGTTTTTCTGCTAAATGCATTTCATTGATAGCTCAGTGATTAAGTGCGCTGTCATCAGTGTTGTTTTGGTGGCTTTCAGACCTCTTCTAAGCGTAATAAGTTTTGAATTTTTTTCAATCTTGCTTATATATAGGTACCTTCATAAAAAATTTAAACTTTTATTTTTTAAACCAAATTAATTCTATTATATAGAGATTATTAAATGACAAATTTTTATACCAAATTTATTATCTGGGGTCAACTATAAAAAAAGATATTCAATTTTGAAGGTAGAGAAAATAAAGTGGACATCTTAACAAAGATACACAAGAAAATGACTACAAAAAGTGGACTTTATAACGTAGTTCATAAAATATTAACAATTTACTGTCACATATATGATAAAAACTGTTTATTATATCCCACTTATATAAATTAAATTGAAAAAAAAAAAAAAGAGAGAGGGGGGGGGGTGTTTAAGCCCATTTTAAAAGGGGGTCAAATTCGATTCTAGTCATTTTATTAAAAAAAATTACCATAACTAATCTAAATTTAAGTTTGTTCATGCTTAAATCTAATGAGAATGTGAAAAAAAATTGTATAAAAAATTGAAGTGATTGGAGCCTGGGAACAAAAATACCCCAAAAAGTTTGTGCCCCACATAAAAATGTGAGGGGACCAAGTTATTAAAATACATTTACTTATTATTTTATACTACATTTAAATCTATCAACAGACCCAATAATTCTTGATATGTTTAAAGTTATTTTTTTAAGTTATTTCACATGGTCATAACCTTTGAGCATTAAAAAATGTGAATTTAAATTTAGTTTTGAATAATAAACTTAAAAACTTATTTACTCATTAAATTAACATTTGAGACAGGGGGGTTCTATCTTTTTTAGTTTTGTTCCTAAGTTTTATTTACCACAATTTTTTAGCAAATCATTCTTATTTGACACATGATTGAACATACTTATACTTAGAGTTTTCACAATGCCAAGTACAGTATCTGAAATGTAAAATAACCCTGTGCCTGCTCTTGGTTAATACAAAAATATTTAAAAACTAAAAGGAATAAATAAAAATGTATACAAAATAATCAACTTAAACAAAATAAAAGATAATAATGCCTAATATATTATAGTAATTTTTAAATGAACTCCAAGTCTTTAAGTATTAGATCTGCTATAACTCCTTCCTGGCTTATGTCAATATCTTCAGCTTCATCTTCATTGACTTTCCAATATCCTATTGTGTATGTAAAAGATTTTTTTTTTGTTGCTACCTTCTGATCAACAATTCTACCAAAAAATAAATGTATATTACCATCATCTAGCTCCCATTTATGGCTTAAGAGCTGCCCTATCAAGTTTCCATTTTTCAAAATTACTCCTAAAATTCGTTTTTGTTTTTCATCAATATTAACAAAAAGAGGATTTGTGGTTTTGGCATTTTCAGCTATTGCTCTTTTAATATCCTTCTCTAGTCGCTTTCTTTCCAGACGCTCTTTTTTTAAATTAGCTTTGGCGCATCTTTTTCCTATTTCTTCATACAAAAGATTATTAAAATTTTTAGAGGCTTGACACGCTAAAGCTCCTCTGCGAATTACAAATTGAATAAGATCTTCTTGTTCTGGCAATGTTTTCTCATCAAGCCATGTTAATGTTTTGTTTACCCTGGCTTTTATTTTAGAATCCAGAAAACCAAAAGTAGCATTAGGAGCACGACGCAAAAAAAAATCAAGCATCCCTAAGATCCTTTCAGCCTCCATTGTATGAGGTGGAGCAAAAAAATTTTGTAAATGTCACCATTAAACAAAGGCTTCGATTGGCATTTATATGAATTAATTAAAACGCAAATATCTTTTGCAGTCTTGTGGTCCATCTAAAGTAAAGAAAAATACAAAGCAACAATGAAAATAATTTTAAAAAATGGCGCTATAATCAATACATTATTTTGCGGTAGCAACTGTATGCATCTTTTTTAAACATGAAGGAGATTTTAAAGTATCGGTTATTATATATCAAATGAAAGATCTATGAAGAATTTATTTGAGCATGTCAAAATCATTTATGAGCATTTGTATTGGCATATTAAATTCTTTATATGAAAATTACCTATTTTGGCAGGATTCCTTAACAGTGAAAAAATCGCAATTTTTTGAAAATTGTATAACTATAAACAAGTTTAACCTTCACTTTAAACGAAAAAATATAATAAAAATTGACACTTTATTTTTTAGCTAGCTTTTAAACACTCTTTCCTTTATGCATATAGCGTAGTTTGGAAAAACACGGAAATTCAGAAACTTTATAAAAGCGATGTCAAAATAAAAAAACGGACGCATACGAGGGTACCTACTTATATATATACATATATAGCAAATAAATAATAATATTGCAAAAAAGATTTCTAATATTTAAAATAAAATTTTAAAGTTTTCTTTTTTTATAGATTTATAAGATAATATGTAAGTTAAAAACAAATTTAAATAAAATTTTAAAGTTTTCTCATTTTATAGATATATAGATGGACGCAATTATTCCATATAATGCCTGGAAACTCAACATATGCTAAAGACATTTACACTTATAGACATTTGTATGCAGCGTTATACAAATGGAACTAAGAAGATCTTAGAGCACTAAAACATAATCATTTAAAAAAATTCATTCTTATGATTATGATTAAGAACTAAAAAATAATATTAAACTCAAATCTAAAAGTTAAGCCGAAATGATTTTGCGCATTAACGTCAGTTTGTGGCAAAATAAACCTTTATGCATCCAGTTTTCTTTTGCACTTATCTTACATTTTTTTTTATTAATTTTTATTATGTTGCATACAAATGCATTAAAATATATAAAACTGGTACATATATATCATTTGCACGGATAAGAGATTGTATTTATTACAATAGTAATAAATAAATAGTTTTGGAGCCATCCGTAAAGGACGTCATCATTTTTAGCCAACTTTTGACCCCCTCTCCCCAAATCACCGGTTATTCTTTTTTTTTGAATCTGCTGCTACACCTTTGAAAAATAAAATTAAAAGTATTCTTATACATTATCTTCTTAAAAACACATATTTACATATTTTTTCATGTTAATTAAACTAAAATTAAAAATCTATAAAGTGACGTGCTTTTCTGCCATACTTTCCCCTCTCCTTGTTCTTTTTTGTCCTTTTTATCTCGAACCCCTCCCCCTTTCTCCTTATAAGGATGACGTCCTTTATGGATGGCCCTTTTTTAGATTATATCCCATAAAAATATATTCCATATATCTTCAATAGATAGAGTTTTTATAAAAAATTGAAATAAAATTTTATTTATATGACTATCATTTTTAAAGGTCTAAGAAGCAGATGACATAACTTTAGAAATCAGAAATTATCGAGAAAGGAGCAAATCTAAAATTGAAATTTTAAATTTTTTACTCGGAAGTGACAATATGTTTTGTGTTTTTTTAATCTTATCAATTCTTTTAAATATATTAACATAACTGCAAAAAATCCAAACAAAACAGATTGAGCAAAAAAGACTCGTAATTATTAGAAAAGTTTACTTATATTACATAACTTCCTGAATAAAACGTTATATAAGTGGATTTTTTACATTTTATAAACAATATATACATAAACAAATATAATATATGTTTGTATATACATTGTTTATATAGAGACGGTTAAGCGCAACAAAAATTAGTTAGTATTAAAATTAAAAAAGGATTTATTATAGCGTTTCTTTGCAAAAACCAACGCACTATAATAAGTGGTATAATAAAACTTTGAACTCCAATTACTATATTCACTTAAATAAACATTTTCACTATAATAAAATTTTTAAGCAATTATATTTAATTTTTTTGGTTTACTGGCTTTTGTTAAGAACTTGTCAAATTATCTCATTTTAACATATTCGTTGTATCATCTGCAGCCGTTTTTCAAAACGCCTTAAAGTTAAAAATATCATTTTTGACTTTTTTAAAAAATAAGCTAGTTGATTTGAGTACAAACTTTATTAAATACATATTTTCAAAGAGTTCTGAAAAAATTCTATAAAATTATTTGTTTCAAAAAACGTTTAACAAAGAGTTAATTATAATTTTTTTTTTTAATCGCGTTTTTCTCGAAATAGGTAGTAAGCATATTAAGGCGTTTTGAAAAACAGCTGCATCATATATTTATGGTAAAAAAATAAATGTAGCAAAAAAAGCTTTTCATTATCAAAAAAAGGTTTTAAACTTTTTTCTAGCTACAGCCTTTTTTTTTGCCTCTACAGCAGCACCTTCTTGAGTAGCAGGACTTTCTTATCTATTTAATATAGTTTTTTCTTTATTAAGTTTCAGACAACTTTTTTTCAGACCATCCGCAGCTTACCCAGCAAACATGTCAGCGTTGAATCAACGTTGAAAACCGGTCGCAAAAGATGTTGCGGAAACGTTGACAAAGTAATCGATTTTGCAAAGATATGTAACATTGTTAAAGAGACGTTGATTAAACGTTGTAGCGTAACGTTGAAAAATCGTTACTAAAAGACGTTAAAAAAATGTCGTAATTAAACGTTGAAAAAGCGTTACTTAAAAAGCGTTGCATAGACGTCGCAACTTACTGTTGAAAAAACGTTACTTGAAAAGCATTACTTTAACGTTGTTAAAGCAGTTGATTTTGCAAGGATTTGTAACGTTGGTAGTAAAACGTCGATTTAACGTGACTCAAAGACGTCGAGTAAAGGTTGAAATATAACGTTAAATCAACGCTCAAATGCGCCGGGGAAAATATCGCAAAATATTATTAAACGTGATTAAACTTGGCTATAATGTATATTGAATTTGCAAATAAAACAAAATTGTATGTTGAATTCTGCACTTGCAATATTTCCAAAGTCAAAGATTTTTAATACAAATTACTATTTGTATTAAAATATACAATGAAAAACATAAAAATATACAATATATTTATATAAAATTTACAATTTATAGATAAAAATATAAACATCTTTTTTAAGATTTATGTGTGTGAGTGAGTTTACAGGATTTACATGTGTGGGTAAAATTTATGTGTGTGAGTGGATTTACAGGATATCGTATCGAAAAGCCAGGATATCATTGAGATACAGAATCTAAATCAAAAAATAAAACTTGTATCATTATCAATCTGAAAGCAAATGTTTAAAAAATGTTATTGAATTAGTATGATCATTATTAAATTTAAAAAGTAAATATATATATATATATATATATATATATATATATATATATATATATTATATATATATATATATATATATATATATATATATATTGTGATCGTCGTAATAGCATAAAATAAGTAATTGTTTTTAAAAATAACACGATGTTTTTTATTCTTTGTAGTAAAAATCTGGGATTGATGTTTGACTGGGGCCGAGGCCAGGTTTGATAAAATATATCCGGGGCCAGGGTCAGGTTTGAGACCAGGCTGCATAAACATTTATACACAGTATATTTTTTAAATTTAAAATTCATGCTATATTTTGTATATATATGCATATATGAACATCATTGTGATCAACATGATCATCATAATTGTCATAACCATCATCATCATCACCATCATCATCATCATCATCATCATCATCATCATCATCATCATCATCATCATCATCATCATCATCATCATCATCATCATCATCATCATCATCATCATCATCATCATCATCATCATCATAATCATCATGATTATCATTATCATCAACAGCATAAAAGCGGAGAGCTTGACAATGATAATAAAAATTATGTTGATGTTGTTGATCCTCATCATGATAATCATCATCATCTTTATTATGGCACTATATAAGGCACACTCTTCAAATTTTTTTACTTCTACCACAACCATTTTATACTGAAGCTGCTACCACTCTACATGTTAATACCTGAATTACTTTAACTTTTTCTAAAAAAAAAGGTTGTTTGATACAACGTTTTTTCTAATCTGTCTAAGATTATGCCTACTTTTTATATCTTGTTAGAGTCACAACACACATCCATCTGATCATTTTCTCTTTCGGCAAATACTACACCATAAAAATACTAAAGTTTATACAACAATGAAAGGATAGTGTATACCAGCATCTAAACATCGTCGTCTATCCTTTCAAAACTATTTAACAAGTGCTTATCAGAGTCTTGCTTTCCAGCCTGCTGGAAAGAAGCATCTGTTATCCCTATTTTTGAAAATTCTGGAGAGCGATCTGATTCATCTAACTACCGTCTCATTAGTCTTCTTCCTAACATAAGCAAGGTTTTTGAATCTTTAATTAACAAACACTTAATCTCGAATCTCGAATCTCATAACATACTTTCTGATCATCAATATGGATTTCGATCTTCTCGTTCTATGGCTGATTTGCTATCAGTAATAACTGATAGGTTTTATCGCATTTTATGGCCTTAACCTCTCCACCTTTATCTAATTATCATTAGATAAAGGTGGAGAAGTTAAGGCCATTGCTCTTGACATTTTTAAAGCGTTTGATAAAGTTTGGCATGCTGGTCTCCTCCATAAGCTTTTTTCTTACGGTGTATCTGGAAACATCTTTAAGATTATTGAATCCTTTCTTTCCAATCGTAGTATAAAAGTTGTCCTTGATGGACAGCACTCTTTTTCTTGTTCTGTAACCTCAGGGGTTCCCCAAGGTTTAATCCTTGGCCCTATACTCTTTTTAATTTACATTAACAATCTTCCAGATATTATCACATCTAAGGTGGCATTGTTTGCTGATGATACTACCATTTATTCTTGTCACGATAAAAAGCCAACTCCCTCTGATTGCTTGCAGGGGGCATCTGAGCTTGAAATAGATCTCACTTCTGCTACAGCATGGGGCTCACAGTGGCTGGTGAACTTTAATTCAGATAAAACTCAATTTTTTTTTCGGCCAATCGTTATCGCAATAATTTAGACCTTCCTATATTTATGAACGGTAATGTACTCGATGAGTCTCCTACTCTTCATCTTCTAGGATTAACTCTTACTTCTGATCTTTCTTGGAAACCTTATATCAAATCCGTTGCAAAATTAGCATCTGCTAAAGTTGCTTCTCTTTATCGAGCTCGCCACTTTCTTACTCTGTATTCTATTCTCTATCTCTATAAATCTCAAATTCGGCCTTGTATGTAATACTGTTGCCATATCTGGAGCGTATCTTCTAATGATGCCCTTTCTCTTTTAGACAAGGTGCAAAAACGCATTGTAAACATAGTTGGACCTGCTCTTGCAGCCAACCTTCAACCTCTGTCACATCGTTGTTATGCTGCATCTCTTTCTCTTTTCTACAAATACTATAACGGGCACTGCTTGAAAGAGCTAGCGTCTCGTGTGCCATCTACTAAAATTCATTCTTGTGTTACTCGTCATTCAATAAAGTCTCATCCTTTTTCTGTTACTGTTACTAAGTGTTCCAAAAACTCTTATTCGTCTAGTTTTTTTCCTCGAACATCAGTTCTTTGGAATTCGCTTCCTTCATTTTGCTTTTCTGATTCATATGATTTGCAATCTTTTAAGTTGTCTGTCAATCTTTATCTTGCTCTACAATGTTCATCTTTTCTCTTCCAGTAACTTCCAACACTAATTAGTGGTTGCTTGCAGCCTTGTTGGAAGCAATAATTAAAAAAAAACAAAAAAAAAAACAACAAACAAATAGCAAACAGATATGCTTATATCCATAATATGTGTGCAAAAAGTGGATCTTGGAAGCTTATATTGCTTCTGGAATAAAAGTTTGGAAGCTTTTATTACTTCACTTCAGTTTTAAATCAAGCCTCATTCTACTCTACATCTTTCAACATTAATTACGTTTTTCAGCTTTTTTATAAAAACATCTCTTTTAAGAAAAAATTGTCCTTTTTATTATTGCAATAAGCTAATGTATAAATAAAGTCTTGTCTGATGTAAATCTGTTATTCTCAGTTTACTAAACATTGTATCTTATCTTAGATGTTGATTCTAGAGACTTTTAGTTAGTTTTCAACAGTGTTATTATCTAAAGTAAGTCTAACGTTTAATCTCTAACTTATGGGTCTCATCTTTTTACTTTACCCCAGAGTAAAACAGAACTATTTACAAGGAAACCTTACTCTAATTTGACTCTGGAATATAACGGCCATACTCTTCCTGACATTAAAATATTTTTGCTAAACTTTAAATTAATCTATTGTTAAACATCGAAAACACTCTAGCTTCCAACACTAAAAGTAATTCTCAATTAAACACTTCTACAATGTGTGATTCAGACAAGATTTACATCATAGTCTTAAAAAAGTGTTCTCCATCTATCTACATTTTTGCTAAACTTTAAAAAAGTGCTAAATACGTGGTTCCAATTTTTCAAATCGTCTTCACTTTGTTATTAGTTTCTTACAATTTTCTATGAAAAGGTTTTGAGGTAATTAAATTACTTCTTTCTAACTACAGTAGTGAAGTTATTCTTGAAGGCCTACCCTCTTTATTTCAAGTAACTTTAAGGTTCTATATTTGTTCCTGTAATATTTTTTATCTACAATAACAATCATAATGAAATCTAAAGTGGCTCTATTTGCTGATGACTCCACTTTATACTTTTGTCTTGACAATAAATCTTCACTTTTTAATTGCTTAGAACAAGCAGCAAATTTTAAATCTGATCTCTCTTCTGTAATAACCTAAGGGTTGCTGTGTCTTATGGATTTAAATTCTGGACTTAAAATCAACATTTTTTGTTAGACAAAAATAAAATTCATTTATTTACTACAAAAAAATATTGCAATATTATTGGTATTCCTATACTGACAAATAAAAACCCTATAATTATTATTATATATTATATAATAATAATAATATATATAATAATAAAAATAATATATATATATATATTAGGGCTGTCCAAAATAATTTTTTTTTTCAGATTTGATTGCATAGTTGTTTATTTTGTGCCATTTGACATATTAATTAACTGTGCAAAAAATCTTTCCGATCAGATAATGTTTAGGGGGTGCTCAATGACCATAAAGTTTTACGAAAAATGTGAAAAACATGGAAAAAGTAACAAAGTTCCACAAATTTCTAAAACCCGGTTAATTAGATTTTTCAGATTTGATCAGTTTTAATTATCTCTAAATATTAAATTCTGAATACAAATTACAATCCACATCCACTTTATACTGGTTTATTAGCAGAGAAATTAATGAAATAAAATACTGCAATACGACTAAAGTTTTGCGGTTTTTGTTATATCAGAATTTTTCCAAAATAAAACACTAAGATTTTTGACTCTTTGTCATTGATTAAAATACGAATTATAAACAAAAAAAATTATTGTAAAGGAGCAACTTTTCTCAAACCGTTATCAACTACTATGTAGATCAACTCAAAAACATATGAGCAATTAACATTTAATTATCGTAATGTTATAGTTCGTGCAATGTTAATGCTAGCAAGGACTATAACTCTTCAGAGTACACTTTCTGGCATCTGGCACTCGCTTTCTGTGATCCTCAACCACCTGAATTAACCTCTGCATTTCAGATTCATTCCTTGTAATCAATTCATTAAACATCGACATTAAAGCCACAGATCATTTGGCAGCATCATTTACTACTTTCAATGAATATACTAAATTTTTCCCTCTTGGTATTCTGGGGAATCATTCCAGGTAGCTGGATTGTTGTTGAACAGAAAATCAATATCAACCTTCATTGACCGCAACGCACTTGCTGAAACTGATGTCACCAGCATGTCCAGAGATTTCTTCTCTAGACTTTCAATGTTCTTTAATTTGATCAACCTTTCAGACCAGTTCTCACCGTGAAATTTCATGTTGGTATTCATTTTTCGCTTCTCTTCCGTTTTAAGTTTGTTTGAAAACAAAGCTAGTGGGACCGATTCTGGTGAAAGGTACCACAAATGGTTTTGAAATTTCTTGACTGCTGCTTCGGAAATCGTTTTATTCACAACTGCAAACTGCTTAAGTTGCTGAAACAGAAACAAGTCATTAACTGGAGCATCGCTGGCATTTGGGCATGATATCCAAGATTTTACATAAACCAGACTAGCAAATAAGCAAAATTCACAGAGATTTTTTTCCTCTTTTGTGGTCAACTTGAACTCTTCACAAAATAAATAAATCTTAAAACAATAAATAACCTTGGCCATCCAGCGAGCCATGTGATAAGCACCAGGGATCTTGAAATGATAATTTTTCTCTTCTTGATCAGGCAGTTTTCCAAGTATTAACAGACAGAGATCCATGATTTCTTTGTAGTCATCCCTTGGCATTTTAACATGCAGGTTTTCTTTAAGGAATGCCATCACTTCATTTTGTAGTTCTTGCACCAGGGGTATTTTCATTCGAATGTCATCCAGAGGTTTAAAATTTCCTTGATTAACTTTGGGCCAATATTGCTGAAATCTCTGGAAAAGAGGTATGTTGGGACCAGATGATGGTCCAAATAGTGATCTAAACACTCCTGCTACTATGATCTCATGAAAATGGTGTCTGCAAGCAAAATATAACAAATTTCTACCTATATGTTTCTCTAGAACTACACATGCACCATTTTCGGAGCCAGTGTTAGAGGCTGTAATATCAAAACTCATTCCAATAACATCACCAATTATGTCCCAGAAATTAAGCAGATGAATAACTGCTTTTGCTTGGGCTTCCCCAGTTCCAGCTGATAGTTTTGCTATTCCAAGTATTTTGTCAACATTGTGACCTGTCACACCTACAGATAGCCAGTCAACATTTGCTTTAGGGTCTGCAGAATTTGTACGATCTATCATCAGTTTGCCATCCCAGTGGACGATTAATCGTGGTTTGTCCAAATCGCAGAATTCAGTTCGAACAGTGGCTTCAATGTTTGATCGATGATAGGTTCGTTTTCTACGGACTGTAGAACGTGACAATGATCCATCATCGAGGTTCTGTCCACCAGCCCTTGCAATTGCTGCTGCTAGTATAGTAAATTTTGTGTCAGATAGATTAATTCTGTCTAATGTTGATGAAACATCAGGCGAGTCAAGAATTGTATCTAAGATACATTGTCGTTTTGGAGTACTTGCTAAACTTGATTCAGCTGACCCTGAAGAACTTGCTTTACTGACTTGTTGTCTGTAATAAACAGGGATTTCTATCTCAAAATCTCTATCAACCATTTTGTCATTATCAACAGCATCGTTATCGTTGTCATCACTATAACTTTCGTCATGTAAAGGTTCAATAACAGGAACTATTGCACTCGCACCAGATTGTCTTTGCTCTTCTTTTAGCTTTCGTTCTCTCTCTGCTTGTTTCCTTGCTTCATTTCTTGCTTCTAATTTTGAAAGTTCTTTGTCCTCTCCAAACATCACCATTTTTCTCTGACATCTCTGATCCAATAAAAATTCTTTATCTTCTTCAATTCTGATCATGGTTTCAGCATCCTTGTGGGCAATGTCAAAAAGAAGCTAATGGTGTCTGTAAATAATTTCTCTCTTGATTTCTGAGAATCTGACAATCTGGATTTTTTTTTTTTTATTAATTTAAATTCCTGGACTAAGGTTTTCAACTTTAAGACTACATTCGGATGAAATGCTGTCGGAATACGGGCTTTATTCCAAATAATATTCAGTTCATCAACAGTTGTTTTAAGACTTTCAGGCACTGACTTTTTAGTTGAATTAAGATGATAATAAAATGTTTTTAAAACATCAGATGTTAGGGGAAGACCTTTATCTGGAAGATTTGGCTCTGGTTGTCCAATTAAAAAGATTTCGGTTTGAAGTCGTTTAGAGATAGCAACACGAGATGATGCTGCCATTTCAATGATAACTGAAAAATTATGAGAAAATCAAAACTCAATACCATATTATACAAACTTATCATTCAGTTGTTGGTTTATGCAGCTGCAGCAATATATAATAATAATTATTACTAAAGAAATTAAACAAATATTTTCAAATTAGAAATTATTATTATCTGCACTTAATAACAAACAATACACTACCAGACTACTATGCTAGTTTTCTGTAATAGGTTACTAAGGTTAGGTACTATCAAAATATTTATACATTTGTTGTCAAACTGAAATTCCAAATAAAAATAATATTTATACTTGTAAACCTTTTTATTCTGTTTGAACAAATTTTAAATTGAGTTAAATAATAGTATTAAAATTATGAATACAAATTTTAACAAAATGATATAAACACAGTTGTTTTAAACACTAGCAGACATTTTTTAGTCTGGTGCCCTGATGACAGTTAATCTGCTGCACTTTAATTAATCTATATAGCACGCAATCAGACAATATTTCAGTGGAAAAAATCTAACTAACCAGGTTCTAGAAATTTTTGGAACTTTGGAACTTTTTCCACGTTTTTGACGTTTTTCGTAAAACTTTATGGTCATTGAGCACCCCCTAAACATTATCTGATTGGAAAGATTTTTTACACAGTCAATTACTATGTCAAATGGCACAAAATAAACAACTATGCATTAAAATAATAAATATATATATAAATAAAGTAAATTTCCGGTTATTCGAACAGACACTTATTTAAATTTTCTCGCTATAATATATATATATATATATATATATATATATATATATATATATATATATATATATATATATATATATATATATATATATATATATATATATTTATATATATATATATATATATATATTTATATATATATATATATATATATATATATATACATATATATATATATATATATATATACATACATATATATATATATATATATATACATATATATATATATATATATATATATATATATATATATATATATATATATATATATATATATATATATATATATACATATATATATATATATATATATATATATATATATATATATATATATATATATATATAAATATACATATATATATATATATATATATATATATATATATATATATATATATATATATATATATATATATATATGTATGTATATATATATATACATATATATATATGTATATATATATATATATATGTATATATATATATATATAAATATATATATATATATATATATATATATATATAAATATATATATATATATATATATATATATATATAATATATATATATATATATATATATATATATATATATACATATATATATATCGATATATATTACTATAGCATATTTATATGCTATAGTATATATATATATCGATATATATATATATATATATATATATATATATATATATATATATATATATATATATATATATATATATACTATAGCATATTTATATGCTATTGTATATATATATATATATATATATATATATATATATATATATATATATATATATATATATATATATATATCAATATATATATATATATATATATATATATATATATATATATATATATATATATATATATATATATATATAAATATATATATATATATATATATATATATATATATATATATATATATATATATATATACATACATATATATATATATATATATATATCTATATATATATATATAATATATACACATATATATATATATATATATATATATATATATATATATATATATATATATATATATATAAAATTTGCAACTAAAAATGGTCATGTATCCATACATTAACTAAATAAAACTTACTTCAATAGGTGTAACTATAAATCATCAAATCATATTATGTACTTCGTTCATAAGATGCAAACCAGTTAAAACCAAATCATTCCTCGATCTTTAATCCACCAGAACTTTACTAAATAAATTTATACTAGTAATCAAACTACCACAAGTCAAAAAATTTAAACAGTATTATTGAAATCAGCTTTAACCAATAGTTAATATCAGATTTTTTTTTTCTTTACTATATAAAAAACAAAGAAAAGTTAAATCCAAAGAGAAACAAAATTATTCACAAATAAAATTACTTCCATTCTTCTTTGGAGTCCTCTTTAGTCGTGAACTTAAATCCTGCACATACTTCTTTATTGATTAGTAATTAATTAGTAAAATAAATATAAACAAAATGTAAAAACAAAAATGTAGAATAAGTGTAAACAGATTACGATATATATCTAGGCAATAATAATACCATAAACAGATTTAAAATATTACTTATTCCGAAATAAATATAAAATAGTTTATTTGATATAGTACTTCACCGTTGAAATAAAACTATAATAGTTTTTTTATTCATATAAAACAATTAAAATAGCAATAATTACTGTCAAATTTAATGACATCCAGTTACTTTAACTCTTTCAAGTCTAAGCTTGTTGCAGAAATCAACGATTGGAAAATTATTATAGGTAGCTTTCATTGCATGAACACAAGTTGGCTAAAATAACCATCCATCTTTTTTCGAACGAGATGGAACCACTGCCTCTGCTTCAAACCTAATGTATATGTAAATAATGTATATATAAAACTTTATATATACATTATTTACAAACTTAAAAAATGGTTTTCTAATTGTAAAAGTATAGTTTGTTAAATTTATTGAGCAATTCATTTACCTTGGCAACAATATTTAAGATATTGGTTCATTAATATTTTGCAACTATTGATGTGAAAATATAAAACAAAAGGCTTTTATAACTAAGAAAAAATAGGTAAAATGTTACCTCAAAAATGTTAGATGTAAGGATGCGGAAGTTTCAGTCAATAGTTCAGCATCAAAACAACACCATCCAAATATAGTGTTTTTTTGGTTAGCGAGGTGCGCCACAGGTACTGGTAAATGGCCGGGATACAGTTTAGACCTTCCGAAACCTAGTTTAACTCCTGCTAGATTAAGTTATATTTGAAAAACAGAAAATTTTTTAGTTCTGCAAAATAGAGCAGTATGTCAAATTTACTAAAATATTAAAACAGGACAGAAAAATGACAGGAGTAGAAATCAGAATTAGTCAGTTGTTTTATTTTAACTGTGCTGGATAATTATTTTATTTTTTATGCAAGAAGATGTTTTAAAGCAACAAAAAAATTTTGCTCACTAAATTAAATGCTGATAATTTGGTCTTACAAAAAGTTTATCGTATTGTCTATGCTAAATATATATGCTTAAAATCAAAGATAAAAATAAGTGGTCAAGTTAGAGAAAAAAATTAAAAGCAACACGAAATTTTCTAAAAAAGATAAACATTAACTCCGCAATCAAATAAAATAGTATGGAAACTTTTGATCCTCATTTAAAGTTAAAATTATTATGCATTTAGTTTTTTCAATTTCTCATTGAACAAACCAATGCACATATCCCAGTGGGAAATCGGCTAGCGAATAGCTAGCAATATTCGTTACGATTAAGACAGCGATTTGGCCACGAGGATTGTTAGCTTTATAAGCTAGCGATCCGCTAGCTAAACAAGCTAGCGAATAGCTAGCAATATTCGTTACGATTAAGACAGCGATTTGGCCACGAGGATCGTTAGCTTTATAAGCTAGCGATCCGCTAGCTAAACAAGCTAGCGAATAGCTAGCGATATTCGTTACGATTAAGACAGCGATTTGGCCACGAGGATCGTTAGCTTTATAAGCTAGTGATCCGCTAGCTAAACAAGCTAGCGAATAGCTAGCGATATTTGTTACGATAAAGACAGCGATATGGCCACGAGGATCGCTAGGTAAATAAGCTAGCGAACAGCTAACACTAAGTCGTTACGATAAAGACAGCTATTTGGCCACGAGGATCGCTAGCTTTATAAGCTAGCGATCCGTTAGCTATACAAGTTAGCGACAAGTCGTTACGATAAAGACAGCGGTATGGCCACGAGGATTGCTAGCTAAATAAGCTAGCGAATAGCTAGCATTAAGTCGTTACGACAATGACATCAATTTGGCTTGAAAATCTCGGCTAGGTTAGAAGATATGCTCAAAGAATCGCGTGCTATATTTTTCAGGGGAGTGAATTATAACCATTAAAATAAGATTGCATTTATAACAAATTAAATACAAAATGTTTATACTTGTTTCCATAAAAAGTTATAAATGTTAAAGCCATTATAAAATGTTAAAAGAAAAGTTATAGATTACTTTTGAAAAATAAAAAGTCATTAACAACTAAATGATTTTACCTAAACTAAATTAATAATTTCAAAAGATATTTAAAAAGATAATAGAATAAAATTTCTGTCAAATTTTAGTTTATTTTTAAAATCTTTATCAATTTTCGAAACTAATTGCTAAAAAAGTTGTAACAAATAAAATATCTAAAAAAAAAAAAAGTCAATAAAAAATAATAGAACAAATAAACAAAAAAAAAATAAGTTAACTGGAATCACTACATGAGTCAGTGCTTAAATTTCATTTTTTTCTAACAGGACTGTGTATTTGTATATCACTTGTTAAAGAAGAACTTCTCTTTCTTGCAGCAAAATAACGATCTTTAGACTTTTTCAAGTGTTTCGCAATTATTGTAGTCATACTGGATTCAGTGGCAGTTGGAAATAAACAGTAAGCTGCATCAAAAATCAAACTTTCGACTGGTCCTATAAACCTACGCTTTTTATCTGCACCAGTTCAATTAATGCTGCAGCACAGCTTTTCTGTTAAACAAGTTTTTAAAGCATTTTTTAAAAAGTCACTTACATTTCTTCCATCAATTTGCTTTAACTTTCTGCAAATGATATCTTTATCATTAGAGTTAATTATTTTATTTTCTAGTGAGTCAAACTCTTCAACTGAATAAGCTGGTAAATAATCTATATTAATATTTTCTTTATTACCATGATTAGTGTCTAAAATGGAACGCATGGAACGCATTTCTGTTTCCAACCCACAAAGTTTTCTGTACATGGAGTTCACTACAAATTGAATGCCTTCAACAGTATTGGGTTCAACATTTGCTTTCCGAATAAAGTTATTTTTTTGGTCTATCCCAGTTTTTTGAGATGGTAAAGAAAAGGAAGAAGATGAATGCAGTAACGATTGAACTTGTGAAACAGACTGCATTTCTGATGGAAACACTATCTGTGTAACTGGCAAGTCATCTACTTGATCCATTGAGGCAGAGGTACAAAAAGTTCTAAACAAGATTAACAATGATTATAAATACATTCACAATATTCTGATTATATTATACTTTTTTTTTATTTAATTAAAAAATGGTAACTAAAAAAAGCAAATACACCATAAAAGTTAAACAAAAAAAATATTATTTTTACGAATGGGATAAAATTTTAAAATGTATACTGAATCGGAATCAGGAAGCTTTGGTGGCTTCCATAATGGTATTGATGGTAAAGAGGTTCTTCAAAAATACATTTTTTTTTTCTTTTTCTGTTTTGTTGACTTAAAGGAGTTTTCTTGTGTTTTTTTTTTTGATGTATTAAAATCAATTTCTACTTCTGATTCTGCACTAAGAATGTGCTAAAAAAAATAACTTTTTTAATATACATACAATCATAGCTTTATACAATATACATATCATAGATCTTCCATGCAATATTTTAAAAATCCAGAGATTTGTTTGGGTAAAATAACCGGAAAATATTTTCTCTTATTTTCCTCTTATTTTTGCTTATAGCTGAGTTTTTTCTTTTTTTTTTCTTCAAATTTTTCTTTATTTTTTTATGAGTGATGAGTGAAAAAGCTTATAAAACAAATAGATGTATTTAAACTTTTAAGTATAGAAAATGTTTTAGATATCCAGCAAAAAAAAAGTTACAAAAATTTCCAGAATTCTGGAAATATCCAAAAAAGGTTAATCCTTGACATATACAAAAATTTGTTACTAGAAAAGGACAAAGAAATCATAATAAATACAGCTCATAATCAACTCAACTTTACCTAAGTTAAATACTCAACACATTTTATGCAATGCTTTGTGCATTGATTACAATAAAAATAATTTATTGAGTTAGTTTCAAAATGCTCACATTCAAAGGTGGGCCGAAACTACAACTGTATAAAAAACTATCGACATTCCGTGCTAAAATATAGATAGCTAAAAAAAAGCTGCGATATGTAGCAAGCAAATAGCTATAGACTTTTTGTAATCTTCTAGCTAGCTTAAACGCTACTGTATTAGGCACTTCAACATTTTTAGAAAAAATGTAAAATGAAAACAAAACAAACTTCATTAGTTTGAACTAAAAATCATTTTATTATTATTAGTTGAAAATTTGTTTAACTTTTAAACTACAAAATTAAAGCTTTTTATTATATGATTTTTGAGGTTTTCAGCAATTTAACGTTT